AAAACTTCATAGCAGCATTTTTCATAGTAGCCAAAAACTAAGATGGATCATTAAAAAAAATATATATAAACAAACTGTGTTCACACAATGATATACTTGACCTCACGGGTCAGCAAACTATGGTGGTGTGGACCAAACTAAGCCTGCCACCTGTTTTTGTAAGGCCTGAAAGTGGAGAATGGTTTTTACATTTTTACATGAAAAATATAATAATAATTATTATTTTAAAAAATATTTTTAGTTGTTGATAGACTTTTATTTATTTATATGTGGTGCTGAGAATCCAACCCAGTGCCTCACACATGCCAGGCAAGTGTGCTACYGCTAAGCYCCAGCCCCAGCCCAAYAATTAYTTTTTGACACATGAAAGMTAKCTGAAATTTAAATTCAAGAGGTCATAAATAAAGTTATACTGGAACACAGCCATGCTTATTAATTTATGCACACTGTCTATTGCTGCTTTCACACCATAATGAGAGCCAAGTGGTGGCAACAGAGACCCTGAGGCCTGTAAAACTGAAAATAGTTATGATCTGGTCCCTTACAGAAAAGTTTGCCAAYCCCTGCTATGGAGCAAGAGACGAAAAGAATTGCAACAGCAGAAGCATCAAGTAGAGTGTAAAGAGCCAGGCAAAGGAGTGCACGCGMGTGTGTAATTAATAACTAATTCTTCTTCCTTTTTTTTTTTTTTTCCAGTACTGGGGATTGAACCCAAAGGCACTTTACCATGGAGCCACATCCTCAGCCCTTTTTCTTTTGAGACAGGGTCTAAGTTGCCCAGGCTGACCTTGAACTTGTGATCCTCCTGCCTTGGCCTTTAAGCATCTGGTATTACAGGTATGCACCACCTGTGTGCCGACTTGTAATTCTTCTTTAGAAAGTCCAGAACAGGTGGAACTAACTGTGTGTCCATAGTCCCAAGAATGATCCCTTGATAGGGAACGAAGAGGGACAAGGAAGCCTTTGGGGTGACAGACATGTTCTGTATCTCCATATGGATGGTGGGTACACAAGTGTAAACATATGTACGCTTGTACCCAGCTGCACRTGTGTAGTCTGTGCACTTCTCACCTTATCATAGGTATGTTACAGACTTGATTTTTAAAAGTAGGAGCAGGAAAAATAAGAGGGATAAAAAAATAAACCYATCTCTTGTGAATTTGGTGTCACATACCTTATATACAAACAGAGATTGGATAAATTGTGGTATARAGGTGTATTAAGAATTGTAATGCAAAAAAAWTTATGAATGTAATGCACTCCTCTATTGTGATGTAAGRAATAATAWAAATAAATAAATAAATAAATAGACCCATCTCCAAAGATTGATAAAGATCTCAGATCAAAGCCAAACCAAGGCTAAACAACCATAAACASAGATAATAACAAGTGCTGGTAAGGCTGTGGAGGAGTTGGAACTTTCATATCCTGCTGGTGGGTCKGTAAAATAGTGTGGCCACTCTGGAAAAGTATGGAAGTTCCTCAAACTGTTAAAMGTAAAATTATCATGTGACTCAGCAATTCCACTCCTAGGCATAAACTCCAGAGAAATAAAAACACATGTCAGGGGCTGGGGATGTGGCTCAGTGGTAGAGCACTTGCCTAGCATGTGTGAGGCACTRGGTTCGATTCTCAACCACATATCAATCAATAAATAAAATAAAGGTTCATTAACATTTAAAAAATATTTTTAAAAAACACACGTCAACAGACATGTACACATGAACGTTCCCAGCAGCATTATTCATAATAGCCAAAAAGTGGAAAGAGCTCAAATGTCTACCAACTGATGAATGCACAAATAAGTTGGGGCGTAACTATTCATGTAATGGGATGTTGTTCAACGATATAGAGGATGAAGTACTGATACATGCTATGACAAGGGTGAATCCTGAAAAGACTGTGCTGTTGAGGGAAAGTAGTCAGTAAAACTAACCACATTGTATGCCTCCATTTCTATGAAATATCCAGAATGGGAAAATCCATAGAGACAGAAAGTATATTACAAATTGAGGTGGCACAAACCTATAACCCCAGCAACTTGGGAGGCTGAGACAGAAGGATCTCAAGTTGAAGGCCAGCCTCAGCAACTTAACAAGACCCTGTCTCAAATATTAAAATTAAAAAAGGTTGGAGAGCGCTGGGGTTGTAGCTCAGTGGTAGAGCGCTTRCCTCACACACATGAGGCCCTGGGTTTGATCCCCAGCACCACAGAAAAATAAATAAATAAAAATATTGTGTCCATCTACAACTAAAATTTTTAAAAAAGGGCTGGAAGTGTGGCTCAGTGGTAAAGTCCTCTGGATTCAACCTCCAGTACCATTAAAAAAAAAAAAAAAAAAAAAAAGTAAGCCAGGCACAGTGGTACACACCTGTAATCCCAGCAACTCAGGAGGCTGAGGCAGGAGGATTGCAAATTCAAAGCTGGCCTCAGCAACTTAGCAAGGCTCTAAGCAACTTAAGAAGACCTTGTCTCGAAAACATTTTTTAAAAGGGCAGGGGGGATGTGGCTCAGTGGGAAAGCACCCCTAGGTTCAGTCACCARTACCAAAAAAATTTTTTTAAAGTTGCCTAAGGCTGAGGAAAAGAAGAGGGAAGCTAGGGCTGATGGCTCAGGGTATGGGTTTCTTTTTTAGAGAAATGAAAATAATTTAAAATTGCAGTGATGAATATACAACTCTGAATACATTACAAGTCACTGAACTGCGTACTTTAAAGGATGCACTGTATGGTCTATGGATTATATCAATAAGGCCGCTAAAGATAAAATAAACCCTGAAATTAAATGTACCACAGCTAAACCCTTCCACACTTGCTCACTTAAAGGAGGACTCACCTTGACACAAACCCTAATCATTCCTAATCCTTCAGAGGCTCTGCTCAAATCCAAGAAATGCTTATTAGCACCTGAGTATTACGTGCCACCCACATAAGTGTACAAAGTCTTTTTTACCTACTTCCCCAAACAAGCTTGAAATAAAGAGTGTGTGGCCAGGTGCAATAGTACACACCTGTAATCCCAGTAGCTCAGGAGGACTGAGTTCAGAGGCAGCCTCAGCAACTTAGCAAGACCCTAAGCAACTTAGCAAGACCCTGTCTCTAAAGAAATATATAAAAAAGGGCTGGGGATATTGCTCAGTGATTAAGTGGCCCTGGGTTCAATTCCAATACCCACCCCCACCCCCCAAAAAAACAAGAGTCTGTGACCACTGCAGTTAAACCCTCCCATGCACAGTCCTCTTTCTACTAAACACTCTTGATAAAATAAACTGTTCCCATTATTTRGCAAAACCTTCTGACCTGGAGGCTGAGACCTTACCCTGTAACCTGGCATTTTGTCAACTAAACTCACTACATCTTTAGCAACTCTGATTAGGAAAAAAAAAAAAAAAAGCCCTGTCAGCTGTTTCCTCTCCTCTGAGCAACCCCCTCCACTCTTCCATATTGCCCTGGATTGCAATTCTGGCCRGAAACCTGCTGATTCCACCTGTGGCAAGAAAGAGAAGGAGGTGGGGACCTTCTGATCATTCCTGGGTGAGGCAACAGCTGGGGCTAGGGTGAGGCTACCACAGCGCCACGTTTAAAGGAGGCACCCACTCTTAGAGGCCAGCCCTGCATTTACAGCACCCTGCAAGTGAGCACCACCTTAAATATTACTCCCTAGAGCCTCACCCTAGCCCTGGCGCTGTGCAAGGGGATGCTCCTTCCTCCAACAGTGGCTCAGAAGACTGGGCTGGGTCTCCTAGCCCTGGCTTCAGAATTTCAACCACCAATCAATTTTATGGAGACACAGGGCCAACAGAACTGCCCCAAAGGCTTAGGAAACTCCATAAATGTTGTTGACTTATGGGACTTGGCCGGAGACACACCCACCTTGAACCTCCTTCCCCAATGCCCTACCTGTTTATAGTGGCCTCCTCCCAGAGATGTGAGTTCAGGGGTCAGGAAACCAGGTCCTAAGGTCCCTCCTCCTGAGGACTCAGCAGCCCAGGGCTCCAGTACCCTTTTCCCTTAAGTTCAAGGAGTCCAGACTATCACCCTCTTCYCGGGGACCCACAATCCAACTTACAAAGCGTCCAAAGCGGATAGAATCGCCATCCTCAATGTGCAGGTCAGCTTGGGCCCCACTAAGGCGGGAGATGACAGACTGGCAGCCAGGAAGTAGAGACCGGAGCACCCCTGAGCCTGTGATGTGGTCTGCGTGGCAGTGGGTATTCACTGGGAGAGAGGAGGACAAGATTAGGGCCAAGCCCCCAACCCTCCTCCCTCAGACCCCCTGGGTCCAGGCCCCAGCACCTCCTCCCTCCACCCACGAGTTTGGTCTCCAGACTCACCAGCGTACAGCAGCCGCAGCCCCAGCTCCTTGACCAACTGGGCATCCCGGGGTGCTGTCTCCAGGACCGGGTCGATCAGAATGGCCTCCCGGGACTCTCTGTCACCCAGTAGGTAGGTATAGGTGCAGCTTTTCGGCTCAAACATCTGGGGGTGAGGTTGGGGGACACAGGTGAGAGTGCCCATCTGCGACTCCCATCCCCCAGAGCCAGGAGTCCARACCACACATCCTCTTTCTGAGTTTCTGAAGCAGAAACCCCAGTCCCTCTTTCTCCTGGAGTCGGGAATCCGGGTCCCCAACTTCCTCTACCAGAACTAAGTCATTCCAAGTTTCTTTTTTTTTCTTTTTCTTTTTTTCCTTTCAAAAGTAGAGAGGTTCATTAAAAAAAAAAAAATAGATACACAGTCGGAGGAGGATGGGAACAACCTTAAGAGAGAGAATGCTTTAGGTTAAAGCCAGGGATAGCACTCAAGGGAAACCGCGGGCCACCCGGAGGGAGACAGCGCCAGGGATTCCAACACCCCAAACCAGGGTTCCCAGCCCTCTACCTTGTAACGGACCCAGGAGTTCGGCCCCAAACCCACGGTCCCCCATATCGCTCCCTGGACACTGCATTCCAGCCCCCAGCTCCACCTATTGTGTGCAACGCACAGSCATGGGACCCCCCACCCCCGGGTCTCTTCCCCCTAAAAACATCCACGAGTCTCTCCCTCCCGCTGCCTACGGCCCAGTAACCCGCTTCCTGGTCCAGCCACCTCGCACCTGCCGCAGGAGGATGGGGGCTCCAGACCCGCTGTGCTGGCTCAGCTGCCGCCTAGCAACCCTTAGGGCCGCCGCTGCCATCGCGCCCCAGGCCAGGGTCCAAGCTGAGCCCAGGCAAAGCACCCGCCACAGCCCGACGCTCCAGGGCTGACCCTGAGAGCGGGGCGGGCGGGGGCGGGGCMGGGCGGGGCGGGGCGGGGCCTGCCTTAAAGGGGCCGCGGGCGCCAGCGCGGAGGGAGGGCGGGGCGTGCAGCTGCAGACCGGGTGGGRGACGCAGGGAGGTGTCAGAGACCCAGGAAGACAAGGAGCCGCTCCGGGGCACTCATATCTGGAAAAACAGAACAGAGACACTCGCGAGACGCTCAGAATACTGGCATAGAGAGAAAGACAGGCAGAGAGGTAGAATCTCAAGAGACCCCCAGTCACTCACAGCCACAGGCTGTTGTATAGGAAAAGCCCTTGGTGGAAGAGTCATTATGAGAAAAAAAAAGATGCTCGGTTCAAGGTCACTAGTGTTTTGAGGGACTGTTGGGTGGGTGCCTAGAACCAGAACAATACTAACCCCCTTAAGTTTCATCCAAAATTTCCTGAAGCAGTTTATTAGAAATTTTTCTTTCTTCCCAAGAAGAAATATTTTATGTATGTGTTTGCACATGCATATATACATATTTGTTCTTGTATGTATGTTTTTCATATAACTACATAATAAATAAAATATGCATAAATTACATGTAATACATATAAAAGTTTGCAAGATATAATTTTGCATTATATCTTGCAAACTCGGGCTGAAGATATTTTGTCTTATTTGTCTTCTGATGGAGTGTGAAACTGTAAAACAGCCTTTGTTCATTCAAATCAAAATCCACAGCCAAGAAACTGTGCTGTCTAAAGCCATGGACTGTCAGAAGTTTTGTTCTTCGGAATCATATTAATAGTGTGAATAAGATCCTCCTAGGCTAGGGCTACACTCAGTGGTAGAGCACTTGCCTAGAACACACAAGGCCCCAGGGTTCCATCCTCAGTACAGAAATTAAATAAATAAAGAAGTAAAAAAATAAAAAACCAAAAAACTCAACTACTTTATTGTTATCTTCTGCAGGATCCAAAAAACTGCCAAAGAAGCAGTCTGACTGCTGGCCCAAGTGCAGAGAGCTTTTGAGGTAGGTTTCAGGCGGCAACAGTCCACTTTTATGCCCCCATTTTAAAAATATTTTTATTAGTTATAGATGGGCACAATGCCTTTATTTTATTTATTTTTTATGTGGTGCTGAAAATCGAACCCAGTGCCTCCCACATTCTAGGCAAGTGCTCTACCACTGAGCCACAACCCCAGCCTAAGTACTTTTAATTTTTATTTTGAGACTGGATCTTGCTCAGTTGCCCAGGCCAGCCTCAAACTTACTATCCTCCTGCCAAATTGCTGGGGTTACGGGATGTGACAAGGCCCTGAAATCCACCTTGGTCTTAACTCTGAAGTTTCCAAGGAACAGGCTCTGGAAGGAATCCTCAGAGCAGGCCCCGCTTTAATCCCTTTCCACATGATGTGTTTTGCCTTAAGCCTAAACTCTGCCTCACTTAAATTTTAAACAAATGTCATCTTTTCCCAGACCCTCTGCTAGTGCTAGCCCCCTCTCTGTGTGTTTGGGGAGCTGGCCAGGACTTCCTTTATGGTCCTGTCTTCCCTCCTAAGCTACAGCAAGTCAATAAAACCCAATTTTGCCAAACTCCCCGAGGATCTCTGGTGGCCTTCATCAGAGGTAAGACTCATAGAGCCCCTCAAGGGCAAGGGAGAGGCTCAGACACCAAAGAAAGAGACCTGAAGAGCCATTCGAGAGACAGGGAGGGTTGAAATGGATGTCCTACAAAGAAATAGAGTCACAAAGGTACAGCTGTAGATTCTAGAAGATGGTGGGAGGAAGTCACCAGGAGAAATGGGTGGAGAGAAACGCTCCGAGCCAAGGGAACTTGGCTCATTTACTCCAGGCATGAATTCTAGGCTTGCCCCCTGGGCAAAACTGGGACCCAGAGGTGAGTCCCCAGTCAGGATGGTGAGACACAGAGGTGGGGACATAAGGAAGTGCAGCAATTGGAGGAGCTCAGGGGAGGGAGGAGCCAGGGAAAAAAAGAACCTTCAGGCACTCTTCACTGGGGGAGCTCCCCAAATACCACCTGCTCCTCCCGGGGCTCATTCCTAATGTTTTGACAGAATTTCTAGGTTGATTACCTGACCCTTGAAGGCCCGCTGGGGTTTCTGTAGGCTCAGCTGTCAGATGTCCTAGAAGTTAGAAACCTTGGCTTCATCCTTCTCAGATCTGAGATCCTGGGCTGAAAATTGTTCTTTCTCTGCATTTTTCAGTTTTCTCATCTGTAAAATGAAGTTGAAAATATTTCCTCCCTTCTTTATGAAGGTCCAGTTAGTTCCCTCCTGTAGAGTCTGGAAGAGCACCTGGCCCAGAACAGGACCTTGGTGGAAGCTGGCCAGCATTACTTCATCTTTGTCCTTCACTCCTTCCTCTCCTGGCCACCTCCACCCAGTGCATCTCCAGGCCCTGTTAAGTAAACCTCTCCAGTCAGGCCCCCTTTCCATCCTCATGCCCTCTAACTCCATCAAGAGGCAGCAAAGCATCAGTGTGAATTGTTTGGACTCCAGGGCCAGGGTGTAGGGATTGAAATTCTGGTTGTGACTTCCTGCTGGGACCTGGCTGTGTGACCTTGGGCATGTGACCTTGCACTCGATGCCTTATTTCCCTCTTCTGAGGAGAACAATAGTAGCACCTCCTTTTAATAAATTGCTGTGGATATTAAATAAATTAATGTACATAAAGACAATTTCTAGTATATAACAATTTAATAAGTGCTCAATAAATGCTAGTAGTTAATACTGTGATGACTAGGTAACAGTGGACTCCCTGGTTTTCTGGCTTCCACTTACCTCTTTACAATTAATTTTCCATGCAGCCATCAGAGCATTTAAAATGTCAATGAAAAAAGAGTCACAGCAAATAATGCAATGTGTGGGCCTTGTTTAATTCTGATTCAAACAAACTAAGTGTGATAAAAAGATGTTTATGGGATATGGTGTCTGGCACTGAGCTTTAGAATCATCTAGGAGGAAGTGGTTGTGGTCATTTAAACAACATTGGTCACAAGTGAGTGATTGCAGTCGGGCTGAGTGGCACATGCCTGTAATCCCAGAGAGCAGCGACTTGGGAGGCTGAGGCAAAAGATTTCAAGTTCAAAGCCAGCCTCAGCAAAAGTGAGGTGCTAAGCAACTCCATGAGACCCTGTCTGAAAATACAATACAAAATAAGGCTGTGGATGTAGCTCAGTGGTTGAGTGCCCCTGAGTTCAATCCCCAGTACCAAAAAATAAAAAATAAGTGTGTGATAGTTGTCACTGGCCAATTTTTCTTTTTTCCAGTGCTGAGGATCAAAACCAGGGCCTTATGTATGACGGGCCCAACCTGATGCTGGCCAATTCTATTATTGACGCAGCAAATAATTGTTTTCTCTCAACTTTTAAATAAAATTAAACATTGCACTTGGAAAGAGTGGGGGAAAATGTTAATGGGGCTATAGGAAAAACTGAACTCTGATGGGGCATTTGATAACATTAAGAAATGACTAAGCGATCAAAATGGTACATGCTTGTAATCTCAGCAGCTTGGCAGGCTGAGACAGGAGGATCATAACCTCAAAGACAGCCTCAGCAACAGAGAGCACATGCTAAGCAAGTGCTATGCCCCTGAGTTGCACCTCAGCCCTTTTTCTTGGTGGGGAGCTACTGGGGATTGAACTCAGGGACATTTGACCACTGGGCCACATCCCAGCCCTATTTTGTATTTTATTTAGAGACAGGTCTCACTGAGTTGCTTACTGCCTTGCTGTTGCTGAGGCTGGCTTTGAACTCACAATCCTCCTGCCTCAGCTAGCCAAGCCACTGGGATTACAGGCGTGTGTCACTTCACCTGGCAACTTCAGCCCTTTTTCAAATATATTTTTTTAAGCTGGGCACAGTGGTGGACACCTGTAATTCCAGCTACTAGGGAGACTGAGCAGGAGGACTGCAAGTTTGAGGCCAACCTTGGCAACTAACAAGACCCTATATCAAAACAAAAAAAGAAGGGCTGGGGATATAGCTCAGTGGTACAGTGATTACCTTCCATGGCCAAAGCTCTGGGTCCAATCCCCCAATACATCAAAAAAATATATTTTGAGACAGGATCTTGCAAAATTGCCCTTACTAGCCTTGAACTTGCAATCCTCCTGCCTCAGTTTCCCTAGAGGCTGGGATTACAGGTGTGTGCCACCACACCTAACTTTTCCATAATTAAAAAAAATGTTAAAAAATTATCAGGGGCTGTGGCTGTGGCTCAGTGGCAGAGCATTTGCCCTGCATGTGTGAGGTATTGGGTTCGATCCTTAGCACGACATACAAAAATAAACAAATAAAATAAAGGCATGCTGACCATCTACAACTACAAAAAAAAAAAAAAAAAAAGCATATGAAAACCAAACCTAGTTCATGATACTTCCTGTGTTTCTGTGACTCACTAATTCTTTTCCTTTGCAGTGCTCAAGATTGAGTCCAGGGCCTTGGGCATGCTAGCAAAACTCTCTTCCACTAAGCTACAACCCAGCCCTACTTCCTATGTTTAAAACCCTCCCCTGGTTTCTCACTCAGCATAGTCCCCTTCCTAAGTTCTTTGACCTTAAGTTCCATATTCTACCCATCATTCTATCTTTCTGTCACAGAGGGCTTCTTATTGTTAAAATTCTTTCACGTATTTATTGGACACAGATTTATTGACCATCTCTTATGTGCTAGACCCTGTTCTGGATTCTGGGGGCACAGAGATGAACAAGATTGATAAGTTGTTCATTTTAACAGAGCACACATTCTAGAAGACAGATATATAGAGATAAGGGAGAGGACATAGCCAGGAATGGAGGGAAAGGTGAGCAGGGAAGTCTTCACCTTTATAACATTTGAACGGAGGTGGGGGTGAGTGGAGCCAGGCAAGCAAAGAGAAGAAGGAAGAGCCCCAGGGAAAGAAAGAACAGCTAGTGCAGAGACACTGAGGCAGGAATGACAGTGGCAACACRGGAGCTGGAAGGAAGGCCAGCATCTGGGACATGACAAGTTATGACAGGTGAGATCCCCCGAATGCAGCAAGGTCCTCCCCATCTTGAAGTTTGGTCACTTGCTATTCTTGGTACAACTTTGACCCCATCAGGCCTAGTTTAATACACAGTAAAAACAAAAATATTGATAGCATCTATTGAGCATTCTAGACACTTTCTGTTCTCAAAAATTTCCATTGATTATTTTACTTAATCCCAAGAACCTTCCATTTTATATATGAGGAAACTGAAACCCAGAAAGATGAAGTGACTTGCCCAAGGTCACAGGGCTAGAAAGTGGCAGAGTCAAGAGTTCAAACCAGTTACCCCCAGGCAATCTGGCTCCAGAACCCAAATTACCTGCCAAAGTACTCCCACAGCTCCCAGGGCTCACCAGACCTTATTGTCAGGCTGAAGAGTCACCCAGGCGGAGGACTTTAAAGGACACTTCATAGTCTTTCCAGCGCTGGGCAGGAACATGCACCATCAATGCCTGGGAAGAATGCCACCCTGGGTTTGGCACCAGGAGAATAAGCCTGGGCACCTCGGGACCACCCAGGCCGGGGGAAGGAGGAAGCGTGGAATGCGGGGCCGGGACGGGGATGCTGAGAACCTGGAGCCACCCATGGTGGAGGGTGCCAGGATTCTATAAAATGCCATGCCTTTTATCGGGCACCAGCTCGCTCTGAGTGAGTCCTCCCCCGCCCTCTGTCGAAGAAACGGCCAGATGTTTTTGCAAATGCCTTTAGAGGTGAAGTGGAGAACGAGCTTTTGAAATTGCCTCCAGAGAYGTAACTCAGGCTGTCCCATGAAAAGAAGAGGGTACTTAAAAAAGAAGTGCAGAGGCTCGGAGCTTTCTCTGAGCTCCCAGCGTAGTTAGTCCGTGTTAGCCTGCATGTGCTTGACTCCAGCCAGCCACCGTAGGCCCCGCACCGCTGTGCACTTTACCGCGGTTCTTGGGCCGTCAGCTCTGCGCTYGATGGTGAACTTGTCTGCCAGGCTCACCCACCCCTTCCTTCCATTCCGTCTTCCCCTGCCGCAGCTTCTGCCAGCCGCAACTGCGCATGCGTCCACGCCGGCGTGGGAGGAGGGAATGGAAATRAGGCTGGGCCCAGCAGCTAGCGAAGCTCCCGCCTCCTCTGCCCGCCCCGTCGCCCAGCGGTGCAGCTCCGCGGGTCCGAAGGCAGCGAGGCAGCGGCTGGGGCACCGGGAGCGGCCGAGGAGGGTGGGGCTCGGAGCCCCGCCCCAAAGGAGGGGCAGTCCCACAGGTGAGGAGGGTAGGGGTCCTGGCTCGGACGCCTAGTCTACGGAAAACAGTGGGGCTAAAAGCCAGGAGGCTCGCTTTGGGTCCGGACACTCGGTTCCGGGGGGGGCTTTGCATTTAGTGCACGAATACCAGCACTCTGAGGGGTGCATTGTATCCCGGATGCTTGCAACCCCGAGGGAAATAGTATTAGAGGTCTCTGGATTGCTACACACGCCACATTCCTTTCGTATCTTCGTCCAGGTCTCCCTTCTGTCCTCCACGGCCACAATCCACACCGCGGATGAAACTTACCAACAAGAAAGACGAGGTTGACGCGGCGTCAATGGACTGAGACTGAGCCCAAAGCCTGGTAAAGCCACTCTTGGATGTAAAGATCTGCCCACTGCGCTAATAGGCCCCTCCCCTGGGACAGAGCTGCAAAAGACACCGCCCACTCCACTCGCCCGCCCGCCCCTGGGCCTGAGTTGCGGAGCAATTGACTTTGGTCTTTTTGCATAACCCCGCCCATCCCCGGTTAGCTCTTACGGCCGTAGGGTTTGGAGGGAGGAAGGTTCCGCCCACTCTGAACGTAGGCCCCGCCCACTCTACCCAAGCTTCAATTGCAAAGGTCTTTGTTAGATTTGCATAGCCTCGCCCATTCTGCTTTTAGGCCCCGCCTTCCCGCCACGCCTGCCCTCACCTAAGAATCCCATATAAACAGACTGACCTGATTTTAGGTCCTCCAACCAACCCTATCCCTATCAACCTGGTAAAACCCAGCATCACTCCCGCTCCTGCGCCCTGCCCCTAGGTTCCTGTGTCAGCAAGATGCTGGAGCGAGGCGCGAAGTCCAAGGCTGAGGGCACAAATCCTAGTCCTACTGGCAAGGAGCCCGTGACCAAAGGAGTTGAGAGCGACCCTGCCTGTGAGTAGGGTTCATTCCCAGGAATGGGCTGATAAGAAGATCACATGTTTTGGGAAATCATAGGCTGAAAG